CCAGCAGGCACCAGCAAGTGCGGAGCGCGGGTTCAGTTCCCTAAAGGAGGTGAGAGGGCTGGACACCTCGGTCCCCACCAGCCACGCAGGCCCAGGACTCGCACGTTTTACACATGTGCTTGTGGAACACGGAATTCCAGCTGAGGGGCCCATACCAAGGGAACCCCAGAGTGTTTCTGTTCACACTTGCCATCTGGGTGCTGCTGAAAACTGAAGTCAAGGGCAATCCACGCACGCGTGCCGCGTTGCCCACATTGGTTTGAGATAGCGCCCGGCTGCTAATGTTGGACTCAAAACCAGCTTCAGGCAGCAGGGACGAGGAACTACCTGAGAGTCAGAAATAGCCAGGCCTCGCTCACACAGAGCTGTGCAGGGCAGACCGCAGGGCCCTCGCTCTCTGCTGGCTCAGGGCGCTCACGCAGAGGCATAGCACACCAGGCCTTCCCAACCTCACACTGGTGGGGCCGGGTCACTTTCCATGTGGGGGCTGCCCTGGCATTGTGGGGTGGGTACAGCACCCCTGGCCCCACCCACTCAATATCTATAGTGCCTCTCTTCTCCCTCCAAAGAAGCTGAGTGACAAGAATATCTTCAGACACTACAGCCCTGTGTCCCTTCGGAGGGTAGCCGAGATCCACCGGTCTAACCTGGCCCCTGCCATCCATCCATCCATACTGGGGGTCAGGGGCCTGGGACAGCCTGGTGCCCCACCCCAGCCAGGTCACGGCGACTTCCTGTTGAGCCATCCTGGCGCAGGGTTTTGGTTCCCGCCTTAGCCCGGGGTAACCTAAATCCAGGTATAACCGCAGCTTTTGCTTCCTTTGCCAAACGTGGCCAGAAGCTTGGTACCTTCCAAATGGGGCAGGGAGCTGCAGTCTTCGCCTGCCCCTCGCCTGGCCTGTGAAGCACCGACCCCACTACTACTACCTGTTACCAACTCATTCTTAGGGATGAGGAACCAAGGCTGGGAGGGTTGCTGGGACTTGAGTCAGCAGCTTTCCCGACTAGCAGGTGCAGAGTTGGGTTTGCTCCCGGGCCTGCCCAATGCAAAGCCCAGGTCATCACGGCTGCTGGGGCTGAAGGGGGTGTCTGCCTTGAGAGAGAGGGAAGGCGCTTTTTCGTTTCTCTGCCTGGGGCCAAGCCACCTGGCACCCCCTGCAGAGTGATCACAGCAGAGGTTCCCTGCATTTGGCAAACTCAGTTGGTGGCTTCAAGGCCACAAGGCCCTCTTGCAGGGCCACACAACGCTTGCCAGGGAGCAGGGTATGGGCCCAGCAGGTGGGCGCACAGAACCAGTACCCACCCACGAGGCCTGCGAACAAGGCTGCTGTTGGGGCCATGCCATGGTGGCTTGGAGACCAGCCAGCAGGGACCCCCAGACCCTGGGTGCCTGCCACAGGTTCCTACCAGCAGGCCTGGCTGCTGGGCTGAACACAGGTCAGTTCCAACAAGGTCACACAGACCTGCGGTGGCCAGTGCCTGTCCCCACAGGTTCTTTAACCTCAGCGTCCACCTCGTCGCTGCAAGCACATGACAGTGGGTGAACCCTGGCTGCCAAAGGAGGAAGAATCCATCATTCAGTCTCTTACTAGGGCCCTCCGGTGAGGAAGGTGCTACCGTGGAGCCCCTGTCACGACTGCACAGACCAGGCCGTGAGGCCCCTTTGACAAAGTAGGAAGCAGGGCGTGTAAGCAGGTGTCCCAGCCAGTGGCCTGGTGTGAGCCCAGGTCCTGACCATCAGGAAACACAGCCTCTCGCTCTGCGGACATGAACTCCACAATCCCCAATGAGAATGAGAAGGCAAAGGCTTCCTTCCCTTCTCGAGCTGAGGGACTTGCCTGGCAGTCAGGGCTCCCAGTACCGTAACACACAGGCTCAGTAAACGCCGACTACAACCAGCCATGGGACACGACATAGCCCCACACTCCCCATGCTGAGGCCCTATGGGAGGGCCCCGGGTCTGAGTCTTTACCTTCTCTGTACACGCCATGTGTGCTCGCCTGCCTGTAACCCCAGAGGGCCGAGGCTGGGGCAGACCGCGGCGTGAGGGCCCTGTTGGGGGTGCCTGCTGTCTGTCTGTGCCACGGAGGAGGTGAGCCTTAAACAAGTAGGATAAATACCGACTCTATAACCCAATGGATGGGTGTCCTCGGGGCCTGCACAGTGGCTTTACCTGATTGGTTTCCATGCTCCTATGTGTTGGCCCCCGTCACACAGAAGAGGAAGTTGCAGGTCCTGAAGGGCAAGTTCCCGGGTGCTGACTTCACCCCAGCACAGCACCCAAAGGATCCAGTGCCAAGTGCTCCCATGTCCGGAGGTCTAGCAACGAATAGGCGGGGGGTGCCTGCTCTCACGGCGCTGCTGATCTAAAACGGAGGGGGCACAGGGCTGGGGCAGGAGGAGGGGGGACCCCAGCAGGACTGTGCCAGCCTGTAGGCAGAACAGCAGGGCTGGACGGTGGAGAGGACTGATTGCTGGCTGCAGCGGGGAGCTAGGGCTGGAGGTCCCAGGAAGCAGCTTATGCAGGGCTTGGCTGTCACTGTGAAGTGGGGACAGAGTCAGAGGAGCCCCACAGTGTGACGTTTTTACAGGATCACCAATGGCTCTGGGTTGGGAACAGGTGTGTGTGCGTGTAAGTGGAGGGCATGGTTAGAAACAAGTCAGGAGATCACCGAGAAAGTTCTGGAAGGGATACCCGGGAGAGACCATGCGGCTGGGGCCGTGTTGGGGTGAGCAGCGGCTGGGTCCTGGATACTATGCAGGAAGTCGGTCAGATCTGTCGGATCTGATGGAGGGGGAGGGATGGGCAAGCGGCTCAGCACTGGCGCGTGCGCGGCAGCCCGATGCCTCTCTCCTCTCTGGCTGGGGATCCTTTCAATGGAACGAGCTTTACAATCGCTGGGCCCAGGGCCAGGCACACAGTAGGTGCACAACCATGCCTCTGCCCCTCCCCCCCGCCATGGCACTGAAGCACTCACCTGGTGTGGGCTTAATGCCTCACTGCCTCCTCTTCACCGAGTGGAGGAAACTTGAACCAGCGCTGGGTCCTCCTGAGCACCCCGCTGCTCCACCCAACACACACCCACAGACACACACCAGGTGGAGTGCTTGGAGCCCTGCCCAGGGCCGGACCTGGGATTTCAACACTCGGGGTCAAGCTCTGAGGCAGAAACACGTGTGATGTGGGCTCCGACACCAGGCCGCTGGCTGGGACACCTGCTTACGCTTTGCTTTCTACTTTGTCAAAGGGGCCTCACGGCCTGGTCAGCGTGCACTCGTGACAGGGACTCCACGGTAGCACCCTCCTCGTCAGAGGGCCCTAGTAAGAGACTTAGTGACGGAGCCTCTGGCTGCCAGGGTTAACTGAGGGGTTGCATGACAGGCGTCTCACATGTAAAGGTAAGCCTCCCAGGCCAGAGGGGTAGCATGGTGGTTACACACCGGACCCACATGGGAAAAGCCTGCTTTGTGTCCAGAACCTCCCTGAACATGCTGGGTGTGCATGCGTACCCACGACCCAGGCCAGTTCTGACGGGTGTGGACTGCAGCAAGGGGACTCTGCTGGGGGTACCTGTTGCGCCCTGTTTCATGGAAGAAATAAACACCTTAAAATTAAGACTGGCACCTGGCAGACCCAAATACCACTAATTCTAATAGTCATAACTTCATAAGTTTTTATGACTCACCTTCATACTCCAAGGTCCCTAATATAAGCCAACAATTTCAATTAGGGGACAGCAACGTTTGAGCCAAGATTGACAGAGCTGGGGCCTGTAGATGGAGTAGCAGTTACATCACTGGACTCCCACATGGTTGACTGCGGTTCGAGTCCCAGACCTGGTAGTTTGAAAATCATGCCAAGCATGTGTGCCCGGGTGCCCAAGATCCTGTGAGGAGAATGGGGAAGAAGGGATTGTGGCATGGTCATCCCCCCTGGGGGGATGATTTCTCACTTTCCCTCTCGCTGTCTTGGTCTCTCTCTCTCTCTCTCTGGCAAGCACCTGTGGTTTTAGAGGCAAAAACCTAAAAAAAAAAAAAATCCCCAAAAAACGGACAGAGCTAGAATGTTCTTTGGGTATGCCCCTCCAATACAGACATTCCTCAAGACCTAGACTCGCTCAATTCAAACTCAGAAACCGAATTTTCCAGGCTCACTGCCCCACTGTCCCAACCTTGGAAACTGCATCAATTTGTTTAAAGAGAAATATTTTTCTGCCATTCGCACCCCGACATTTCCCAGCATCCTCTGCGCATGGTTGTGCAGGGCCTTTATGCTGCAGCTGGGAGTGGAACAGACTTGCATTACTTGTGGTTTGAGACACTGCAGAGTGGGTGTGAGTCGTCCATTCTCCCATCCCCTGCTGTGAGAACTGGGAGCCAGTCTTCAGAGGCAGTAACAAGACCAGAAGAGTCTGGGTCTCTCTGCCACTGCATGGAAGGCAACTACCCTAACCCTCAACAAAAATTATATGAGCGAGAAATAAATCTTTGGGTTTGTTTCCCGAGATTTGATGGCTAATTTGTTACTGCAGCATGGACTTGCCTATCCTGACTAATACAGGAGTGTTTTCAAGGGTACTTTGGGCTACATGTGATTTTTGCCTTGTCTGTGTCTTAGCACCTGAGCTGGGCCGTGTGTACCACACACATTACTGCTCAGCTTGGTGACAATCCTGTGAGGTATGGATCACCAGGCTCATTTAAAGACAAAGCAACATGCAGAGTGGCGTGACTTGCCCAAGGTCACAAAACCAGCAAATGACAAAGGCGGAACTCAAGTCCATGTCTGTCTGGCCCAAAGCCCAGGCTCAGTCCACCATGCCATGCAGTCTCCCAACTGAACTCCCAATTCTTGGCCTCCAGACTACTCACTTCCACCAACAGCTCCCACGAGAAACAACATCTGCGTCAGAAGGGAACAGACACACCTAAGCAGGTGTGTCGTCCCAAGAGGCGGCGGCTGAACCCTTTGCCAAGGCCCAAAGAAAACACAACAGTTGTTTAGAAAGAAATAAAATATTTTTATACTGCAAATTATTTGCAAACGTTCACGTTTCCAGTGTAAGTCATTACAAAAAGATCTCCAAGAAAAACTTGGTTTATCTAATGTGAAAGAATGGTATAACTTACAAAAAATAAATATGTATTTCCACCTAAAAGAAGAAAGCTGCTTCTCTGGGTTTGAAGTCAGCAACGTGCTTCGTAGCAGGTATGAATCGGGCAGCAGAGGTCGCCACCGCCTGGGCCTCGCTTTGGTCTTCAACTGAGACACCTGAAGGACCGGCTCGGAGGACCAAGCTCCTCCCACGAACACACGGGCCAGCTGTGGCTACTCCCCGGGAACATCCTTCTTGGCCCAATACTTCTTCCCAAGAGCTAAAGTCTTGAGGCCATTTTTCTTGAATCAGTACTTAAAAAGCAAAACAAACAAAAGCACTGCCATTCGTGAGTGGGTTCTTTTCTTGTCCTGGAAGAGAAGCTGTCACCGGATGCCAAGTTCTCCCCGATGTTGCCCCTTGGCAGCTAACCAAATATGAGGGGGACAAATTAAAATCTGAAAATGAGAAGACAAACGGGGACTCTTGGGCACCGGCTGGCAGTCCTTGGGGGCGCCCTGTGCTCCTTGCTTTGAATGCTTCACACCCATTAGCAGACACGCATCTCTTTCAAGTACCAAAAGGAATAAACCTGCCCCAGCGATAGGTAAACAGAGGCAGGAAGGAAAACAAGGGAAAGACTGGAGTGAGTGGGGAGGCGGGCAACCGGCTAGAAAGGAAGAGGAAGAGATGCACCCATGAGCTTCCGGGTCTAGACCGTCTGTCAGTCCAGGAGAGCAGGGCGCATGAGAGCACAGGGCTGCCCGTGGCCTCCGGAGCGAGTCTGGATGGAGGTGGTGTTCGGATGTGGGTTCCCAGCGTCTGAGTGCCTGGAGGCTGAGGGGTGGTGCGTGGCCTGTCTGAGAATGGTTCCCACCAGGCACCTCAGTCTCAGAGCTGCAGCTGCAGGAATGAAGCACTCCGCCCGGAGAGGTGACGTGAGGGAGGGATGTGTGGGAAGAGCTGAGGGGTGGGAGCTTCTCGAAGACAGGGAACCCACAGACTGGCCGGAGAGGTCCGAGGCAGTTGGCTGGATTTGGTCACTAGCGTATTTTGTACAACCAATTCTTCCGGAAGTCTGGCTATCCAAACCTCTGTGGGAAGCACCAGAGCGTGTGCTCGTGTCCCCAGGGGTGTGAGGCTGTGTGTCTCGGGGGTGTCAGAGGCAAGGGTGTGCATGTTCTGGGCGGGCGGCATCTCCGTGTCTCTCCTGGGTCTTCACAGCCATTTCCAGGCAGGAGGCCATAGCGGGTGGCTGCTGCTCTGTGTTTTGGTTTAGGGTTTGGTTTTCTGTTTTTGGTTTTGGTATAGAAGGCTCGGGTTCCCGAGGATGCGGATTTGTCCTTGGACGCTGGCACGCTGGCCCTGCAGTGCTGACCGATGTGCCAGCTCCGTGGCTCACACCAAGCCTGCGTCTTTGGCCATGCTGTAGAAGAGACCCCTCTGCTGCAGCAGGTCAGAGGGGGGGCCACACTCCCGGATCTCTCCTTTGTCCAGGACAATCACCCTGCAGGGGAGGGAGTACAGACATGAGCGGGAGGGGGAGCTGGAGGCCTCTGCCCTGGGATGGGTTAGGCCCTAACACCTTCTGCTAGGACTGGTGCAGTAGCCTTTCGCTTCTGACCTTACCTCTATTCTCCCTTAGGTCTCAAACGTGCCAGCAGTCACACAGGAGGTGCCCAAGAGTTTCAAAAATGTCATGTCACTCACCTCTTTAAAATCCTCCAGTGGCTTCATGATGCTCTTGAGAAACTTCTCAGCTCCTTACTGTGGGTTCATGGTGCCCTAAGACCTCGCCCCTGCCCGCCTTTCTGGCCTTGTTCTGTGCGACTCCCCTCTTGACTCCACCCTCCAGGCACTGGCCTCGTCTGAGCTTCGAGTGTAGCAAGTGGGCTCCCATTTAAGGGTCTTTCCACTTGATTGTGCCCTGTCTCGATAGAACGTCCTTCTTTAGATCAGAGGGGCAAATTATGACCCACAGGCCCAAGCTGGCCCACTGCCTGTTTTTATGAATAAAGCCTTATTAGAACACAGCCATGCTCACTCATTCCGGACTGCCTATGGCTACTCTCCTG